ATTGTTGTTGGGGGCAATATGCTGACTCTGTAAACCGCTTAGAGAGGGCTGAAAGACCTATGAAGCGGTATATAAGTCTAACTGCTATTGCTATTTCTACTAGTTAACCTAATTAATTTGGATTCTAATTATTCAACACACTAGCAGTAATGTTTAAACACAATTTTAAGTACTCCATAAGTACTTATTTATTTACTTACTTACATACTTATTACGCTATGCTGCAAAACATTTCATAATTCAATGCTTTCACTTTATTTAAATCAAACAACATACGATCATATTTTTTCTTACATTCACATATTTCTCAATGATTTGCTGAAAAGCAAAAGTCCAGTCTTCACACCACATGCCTAGCATAAAGACTCACTTTTTGTCACAAATTGTGCTTTCATTGAAATGAAAGAAAAGAAAGTTGGATGAATTTTATTTCTCTGTGTTTCAGGCAAAAACTTTAATGGTTCTATTTCCCCTTAAATTATGGTGCAGAATTTGATTTCAAGTAATAATAGGAATTTAAGCAAATACCTACCAGGTGTTGGTGTGGTGAGAGCAGGACCTGAAAATAGAAGAGATAACCTTTTTTCTGGGTGAAGATGATGAATTAGGTTACATGATATTGCCAATATTATTTTTATTATTTACTTTTTTATACTTCTTTAGTTTGATACAATAAAGTAAATTAAAAAAAGGCATAGCAAACCTGGCTGAATTATCAGAACTGATTGATGCCTGTTGCTTTTTAGTATTGAGACTCCAGCTAGTCCTTCTTTTACTAATTGCAACTGAGTGTGCCAACTCCATCATTAAGTGCTGTGGTTTTTTGTTAAGCACCTTTAATTAAATTTACTTAAAGATAACGTTATACATTACGGAAACATACATAACAAGAACCAATCCTCAAAGCCTTGTATGTTCAATAATAAATGGATTTTTTTTCCTACTGAGACACATTATCATTGAAGATTGCCACACAACTTTACACATAATAACAATTAGGATCCATTGCGATTCCGTTCAAGACCCTCTAGTTGAATGATGACGTGCTGTACTTGCAGCCACATTACATTGGCACCTGATTGTTTAATTATTCTTTCTCTGTGTTTGTTTAATATATTTATTTATTTATTTAGTGCATGATACAATTAACCAGAGACCACAATGTTGGTTGTTAGTACATAGAAGTTATTTGGCTGCTGAAGAGGGCAGGTGCGTTTAGTTAACACTCATGCTCAATCCATGATACATCACAGGGGACAAACTAGGTTTGCATCAAGAAAGACAAGTGGCATCCTATGGCATTATTTCAGGTCTTCTCTCACACCAATGTTGCCTCGCAATTTGGCATTGCATCCGGACAGGTCCATCTCCGGCCCGGGTCCGACTGTCTACACAAAAAGCTGCCACATTTTGCACTGAAGTGGTACCTATTTATCTAGTCACATGTACTACGTCTTTAAACTGTTAGGTAGGCAGAAACTGTGGCCAATGACGGGAGCCCACTCTGTCACATGGTGCTAGGACTTGAACCGTCGGAGCAGAGACCACCTCCAGTATTTTTAAGCCACTGTGCCTATTGGATAATGTAAACCACATAAAAACATAACGTAACTTGAAAACTGAGCCGTTGAGATTACCTGAACAAACCACTCCAGCATCTTCCTTGTGGTGACAGTTATGAACGCCCCAAGGTTTAT